GTGTTTCTTTTTCCAAAAGAATTGGTACAAAATCTCTCTATGTAAACAGACTGTGAGGTTGCAATACAAATCCCTATTCCTATTTTTAAGCTTTTGAAGGATGATTGTCTACCCTTCTACTTCAAGACCCTTGCTTTTAATAATAGCTTGAGCATGGATGCCAATATCCTTGTGAGAGCATTTCCTTAAATAAGCAGTGTCTGAAAAAGCTATGACACCCTTTCTTTCTCGAATGAGTGAAGCCAGTTGCTTGATTTTTCCTCTATGTAAAGCTAGATTCCTACTTAGCCACAAAAAATTGATGAGTTTAATAATGCCTTTTAACATCCAAGTTTCTTCATCATTGCACAGGCTAATAATAGTCTGCTTGAGCCAACAATTGAAACCAGCAAAGGGCATGCTATGCAAGTTGATTGAAAAGCATCCAAACCATGCAGCTTTCATGTAAGGGCATGAGATGAAGAGGTGTTTTAAAGATTCATCATCCTGACATCGAAAAAGGCACGAACCTGACACATTGAGATGATGTGGTCTGAGGACATTAAAGGAAGGAATGGCACTATGAAGTTTCCAATGAAATTAAAAGAAGATGCTGATATGGGAGAGAGATTGCCCAAAGAAATTTTCAGAAGGGAGCAACTTGAGGGTTCTATAACTCATTCAAATCATAGAGTCATTAGCCATCCTAAACTTTATAAGAACTTGAAAGATTTCCATACCAACAAATTTGATCAGATTGAGTTGTGAGATATAGCTATAAATGAGAGAGACAATGTCTAATTGGTATAATCTGAAAACTAAGATTTATTCTATTTGATTGGATTCCAGAAAGGAGAATCATTCACTAAAAGATCTGAGACTTTACTAATGCTTACAAAAACATCAAAACTAACTTGCATGGGTTTATCTAATCAGTTGTATAAATACTTGATTTGACAAGTAATGAAAGTGAGATATTCATTTTGCCCATTCATTCAGTATCACTTCATTTAGGATTTTCACGAAATTGACCCATCTGGTTCTAGTACTAGAAGTGCTATTATTTTGCTTCTGATTTCCATGAATTTTTCTGTGCTCTTTGGGAATTGATTGAAAATATGTTAGGATGTGTAACTAATCGTGATGCTCTTGAATTAGGTAGGTTAAAAACACTTTTTTGGTCCAATGTAATTGATAATATGATGATGATAGATATCAAAGTCATACACATGCTCAGAATAATGAAAGGATTTGGATTTTGACGATTTTGCCGTTATTTCTTTTGTCTTTTGTTAGAGATTTATTGGTAATATCGTACTGTTCTTCCTCTTTGATTACTGTCGTATGTGACTGTGTAGAGAAAACAAATTGGTAAAATGGTTGAGTTGTCGTAATGGATACAAGGGAATAAAATGAGTATTGGAACAAATCTCAAGAACAATAGGAGAGCAAAAGAGATAGAGAAAAGTGAAACATTAATCGCTCTACAGGATACATTATCTTTCTATGAACTCCCCCCCCCCCCCAAAAAAAAAAAAAAAAAACCGGGGCAGAAGCGCTGAGCAGGTTAGCATGTATTAAGAGTTTGTGCCAGAAGCTCAGTGATAATAGCGAATGATTAGACCAAATGGTGTTAATTAATTCAATGCTAGAAGCGGCGTCGCCTCTCTTGACCCATCAATGCAAACTCTTCTCTTTGCCTTTTTAATTCAATGGGGAGTGCTTGTAGATGGGTCTTGGTGGAAAATAAGAACAAGGGCGTTTGTTCTTTTGATTACCTTACCTTTTTATTTCCTGCAGCCAGTAGCTTTGATGTGTTGTGTGGGTGGGCTATCACTGGAGGCAGTACCAGAGGTGATAAGCTGAGCACCGTTGCACCTTTCTCTAGGCATCATTTTGCTAAGCTCTCATGATTGACAATAACTTCAATTAGAATCCAATCCTGCGAGGTATGAACAGAGAGAGAAAAGAGAAAAAGGGGAGTGGAGACTGGTGTGTTGACTTCAAAGTGGCTTATAGAATGCCACTTCAGTGTGCCACCTCATGCTTAATGGCAAGAGAGTAAAATGGTCGCCTTTGGGACTTGATTGCAAGCATTTTTTAAGGCTTATTGATCTATTTGGAAAAAAAATTACTTCTAGAATCCATATAAAATGTTAAATATGTTTGGAGGACCAGAATAGGGTTTTAATCCCTTAGGTAACTTTGTAATTAGTATTATGTAAATGCTCTTGACAAGAATAATATGTTGGTGCGGTATAGCAAAAGAGGCTATTGAAGGGCCACCTCACAATCTTTTAGAATCAGCGGCTAAACAAATTGCAATTACTGCTCTGACAAAGATACCTCAGATATCTACTGTGTGTGTGAAAGTTGGGAAGCCCCACGTGGCAGTTCAGGGTCCTGTTGATTACTTAGGTGTTGAGATCCTTGGACACAAAAGCGATATGCTAAACTGAAACATCAAATACTTTTTGGGGTTCTGTATCCCTAGGTCTTCTGCTTGATGCAAACCTTTATTTGCAACGCTTGCCAATCTTCTCTCATATTTCTTTCGGCCTCGTTGCTATTATCATGGGACCCAAGTTTGAACTGTTAATATTTTCCTTTTCCCCAATAATGCATGGCCCTCTAGGCTTTGTAGACTGCTTTTGTTGTTTTGGCTACTGTGAACTGAGATACGTATGTTATTTCGCTTCATTGTCGTCTGCTCTTCTTGATATCAACAAAGGTAGACCATAGACACATCATTGTTCTAGCATTTAATATGGTGAGGATACATTGTAAAACGTAGCTTGTTATGATAGTGTTTCATGAAAGTTTAAACAGGGCAAAGAGTCTTTACAGTAGATGAACTGGTCAGAAGTTCCTCAATCATACTCAATAAAGCTTTCTCATTAGGTGTTTTGTCATCATATCAGCCCGTCGTCCCATAAGTATTATGGCTTTTACGTCATATACCAAAAAATCACCAGCTGATTGATTGATTCATGTAGTTTGAAATTGAGATCCCACAATTGTTTGATATCTTCATATGCATAATTGTTGGAAGAACTGAATTGGAAGAACAAAAGCATACTTCAGTTTTTCCCCTCCCGAAACTATTTTGTAAGGGAGGAAGAAAGTCGTGAAAAGCTATTGAAATTCCTAAAAATGACGAGTTCAGATTGGCAAAATACCGATCTATCAAGATACGAGCTATTTCAACCAGTATCACTTTCGGGTAGCTAGCCTGTTTTTTTATTTTTCATACAATTTTTAATATATAAAACTTTTTTATATAATATAATTGGAGATTTTTTACTCTCAATTTTTGCATGTACATTGCCTCGTTTATATCATTGCATTTGTAATTAAATACTTTTTATATGTAGTTATATAAGGAGCATCGTCCATCTTTTATTTTTCATCTATTTGTTGCTTTACTATGCATGACTTTATAAGATTAAATAAAAATTTGATACTTAATATATAAGATCTACTTAATTAATTTGGATGGATTAAGAAAAATAGTTAAATTAATCTTCTATAAAAAATATATGTTGATTTTTCTAAAATATCATCTTAAATTATAAATTAATTCTTACATTATCTTATTATAATCTATTATCCAAGTTTAAGACTTCCAGTCCAACTTCAACATTTTAAATTTTAAAGCTCAACCCATACTGATAATAATAGTCTTTTTATTTTAAAAAATACAGATAGGCTAGGGCAGGGGTTGGCCGAATTTGCACCCCAGCCTGATTTACCAGCTCTACTGGTGGATGACATGATGGAGATGATGTGCTTTAAATGTTGTGTTGAGGTGGGAGAAAGGCTCATTCATTGCTGTTTTCAAAGAGACAAATGCTACCTTTAGTCTTTAATATAAGAGCTAATTTGACTTTTAATTTGATTTTAGATATAAGATCCAAATCCATTTTATCTCTCATATTTATCTTTTTTTTTTAAAAGATAGTCCTTATAGTAACCGCACACATTAAATGTTTTATCAAATGATACTTAATTAACAAGGGTATGTTAGGAAAGATAATATCTATTTGTTACAAAAAACTAACTTAACTAATGTTTTTAATCTACTCAATTTATTCAACTAGCCCTTATACTAAAAGAATGAGTCATACGTTAGCATTCTCACCTAGTTAATGGTAATCTTTAACAAACAAGCTTAAAAACATGACATTACTTCAAAAGCACTCTTAATCATCTTATTTCTCTCCATGAGCTTTTTAAAGGGGCTTGTTTTAGTTTAAAATGTAAAGTGTCAATTTAGCTTGCGTTTTTTTCCAAACTACTAGTATCTCTATTACTTAGATATATTAAAAATACTACTGCCGAACGTTTAGATTGATTGGCTGTAGGGTCGTTTTAGCTTAACCAAGGTCAGAGTTCGATCCCGTTTGGAAACGCTTCAACGTGGAGTGGTGGGCAAGCTATCCATTAGGGAATACTTCACAAGTGCTGCTCTGGATTAGTCTGGGTCCGTTGAAAAGCCTGAAAGATGGCATTGGTCTAGGATATTGGGGGAGATCAACTCAAAAAAAAAACTACTCATCCGATCTTTAATATATGACTTAATTATTAAGTTAATTTTAATAATAAATCTAAGACTTATTTATCATATTTATCAATTTTTTTTAAATTATCTCTATGGATACTCTTTTAACTATAATCAAGTAAGTGAGGAAGGAAGGACATTAAGAAAGATAGTTATAGTGTTTTAGGAAAAACATGTCATATTTCTTATAATTAACTAACTTACCTAACTTTCTTAATCTAATCAAATTAGTTAAATAAGTCTTATATTAATGATCAGACGAGTAGTTTTTGTCAATGAGAATAATAATTAAAGTCGTATTTTAAGAAAAATCATATAACAATAAATTATTTTATTTTTTTAAATTGTTGGGAGGCAAAAAAGAAAAGAATCGGACAAATGATGTGGCTTACATGTCCAAGAGGAAGAAAACGCCACCAAGTACCAGGGTACGATAATGTATAGATGCCGGGGCCGAAGCCTGTCCAAATATGAGCCCGCGTTTTTCTTCGTTCAAGAGAAAATGACGATTCTTGTTCTTACCACCGAAACCTGGGGATTCATCTTCAGCGATTGAACCAACCCTCCCGGCAAACCCTAACGCTACAATCTGAACCTTTCACTTCGAGAAATTTTCTTCCTCTTCTTTTCCTGCATTTTTTTTTTTGCTAGTTCCCTCCCCTTCCTTCATCGCCAACTTCGCTCGAATTTCTATTTTCTCAAACAACGCTCATCTCATTCACTTCATGGCGAGTGATTCTGGCCCAAAACCTCTCCCTGCTTCGTCTTCAACTGCAGGGGAATCTTACATTGGGAGCTTTATCAGTCTGATTTCCAAGTACGAGATTCGTTACGAAGGCGTTTTGTATCACCTCGACGTCCGGGATTCCACCATTGGCTTGAAGAGCGGTACCTAGATTTTGTACTATTCTCTGCTTTCTATGAATGTTACTCTGTTTCAGGCTTTTAGTCAGGGATACGCGATTTTTTGGATGAATAATCTTTTGATAGGGTGTGGATGGTTTGGTTAGAACTGATGTCTTTTTGGCATTAACTTGCTGGTGTTTTGTTGAAAGAGTTTATGATGCTATTCGAGCTGGTAGAATATGCATTTGGTTGAACGGAACATGGGCCTGTGCTTGCTAGTACAATGGATTGTAAGAAGTCAAAGCATAGTAACCAAATAATTTGAACCCCAACATATTCAGTTATTAGTGTAAGGTTCAAGTCATTGGTGATGGAATCTAAAGAAGACTGAACCATCACTCTAGAATGTAAGTCATTGATATGAGTCGTTTGATTGGAGAGTCGAGCAAAATTTCGTATCCTGTTTTTTTTTTTTTGGATTCGGACATTGGAAATTTAAAGAATACTGAATCATCGCTCTACAATGAAAGAGTAAGCTTAGTGATCATATGGTTTGTTTTATGAAGTTACTTAAACCAACATTGGCAATTGACAGTGCCTGTGAAATCCACCTCCCTTTACCCATCCTTTTGCATGCGTATCATCTGTATGATATCTTTCTACAATTGAAGAAGAGTAGATGATTGACAGCACCCTTATACGTAATAGGCATTGGTGCTATTATGCTGTAGCATCATGTGTTTCCTGAAATCTTTCATATTACAAAGGAATTACTTCAAGCTATTCAGTGAATATGTTAATAATTTTTAGATCAGTGCATAATGGGATTGCTGCAGTTGCTTGACGAAATTTATGCAAATTTCTTCTTAAATTTGAATTTGAATTGCTTGTTATGTGATATTGCAGTCAGATCTTATGGGACGGAGGGGAGAAGAAAAGATGGTCCACAAGTTCCTCCAACTGACAAGGTTTATGAATACATTCTTTTTCGAGGGAGTGACATTAAGGTAACCAATGAAGCATAGTATACTTTCATCCAGCACCATAGCTTAACGTGGTGCTGTCAAGAAAAGTAACTGGACACTTGGCTCTCCAGTACTTATTTCTTAGGGGTGGGGGCTCTGATATGGTATTATTGTGTATAAATGAATTTGTATAGAGGATTTAAAGCCCTTTTCCATGTCCTTTGTTTCATTCATCAGCGCAAATTCAAATTGGTGATAGAATCTACATCTGTTTTTTGAATAAATTATAACTTCATAAATAACCTACACTTTTTTCATGTAATTGAAATAATTGGTGTCTTTCTAATTTATATGGTCTTTTTTCTTGGCTTGTCTTATTTTCATGGTAAGGTTAGTTCTTTTCTGGAACCCAAGTAACAGATCACCTTAGCCCTTCATTGACAAGTTCTTTTTTACTTTTTTTGCTGGTTATTTTCTCAGTGTGCGCTCATTAAGTTTCAAACTGATGACTTATATTGGCTTCCTTTAAAAGGGACTCTTTCTGGGGGATGTTCTGATGCTTTGCTGTATATCGAGATTTCATTGGACAAATTATAACTGAATTTTGGCATAAGTAGGCTTGGTGGAATTTGGGAATTTGAAGAATTGATTGGCCAGAATCGAATTTACCACCAGTTCTATCAAATATAAATCTCTGGACAACTGATGAAGAATAACTGAATAAGTCATCCTAACTGGAGCTGAATGTTTAAAACTGGAGAGCTACTGATAGAATCTAAAGTAGAATGGCCAAGGCTGATGTTGAATAGACTCCTATCCATCAATAATAGTGATCTGAAAGTTCCAAATCGGCTTGTTTGTCCGTTAACTATTGTTAGTTGTTGAGTATCCTATAGTTGATTCCATACTGAAGTAGGTTGAATCTAGGCTCTCTCCCTTAACTTCAACAACTTGTGGGTCTGAGCTGCTTTAGATTCTAATGAATTTTTCTCCTTTTCAGGATTTGCAGGTCAAGTCCCCCTCTACATCTATCAAAGAAGAACAGATGTTAAGTGATCCAGCTATTATCCAGGTGCTTCAAACTTTGGAAATGGAAAGAGAAAATTGTCGATGTTACTTTAGCCAGTGGATCTGGCATTTGTTTTGAAATTTTCTAATTTGTATTTTTTTTTTTCCAGTCACAATATTCTGAAGTGCCTTCAAATTCTCCTGTAACTTTAATGGGTGGGAGAAGTTTGACAGAATCAATTCAAAGGCAAGATACTCCTGTTATGACTGGTAGAGACATTACTCTTCCTGCCGGGTTGCCTTCCCATCAATCTGCAACGTTGACAGCCCCATCAGGTCAATCTGCTGTTACTCGCGTCTCTGATGCTCCTTCTTCCTCTACAACAATGTATTGGCCAGAATATAGTGGAATATCAGGAAGTAGCTCTCATTCTCTGCTGCAGTCTGGTCCTTTTCAGTCCCCTTCACGAGTGACACCTTTAAATACTCAGAGCTGGGTCCAAACTACTGAAAGTCAGTTACCTTCTTCAAAATTGGGCTGGACTACTTTACCAGAGCATGGTGAACCTGTCTCATCTATTGCTGCTTCATCTCTTGTAAATCCATTTTATGAACCTTCATCTTCCTCTTCACAAACTTTTGATTCTCTAGATGCTCCGTCTCTTTTGTCTTCTAAGGCACCGTTGCCCTATCATTCTTCTGTAGCTGAACCTAACATACCTTCATTATCTTCACCGTTTCAAGGTATAAATTCTGTCAATGATCAATTTTCCAGCAAAACTTATCCTTACATGGGATCAATGTTTCCTGAACAATCTGCCCATCATTCTGTTTCCTTGTCGATTGATTCTACTTCAGGCTCCTTGCCAGGACCTCATTCTTTTTCAACTCCAGACCAGTTTGCTCATTCTAGAGAGAATTTTGTTCCTTTAGTGCAGAATCAGATCCCTGATCAGAATCATATGGTTTCTCTGGCACCAACATCCCCTCGCCCCTCTTTTTTAGTACCTCCTCCAGGATTTCAAGCACCATTGTTGCCTTTACCTCCATTGCCAACTTCAGTGCACAAGGTTAGAGAATTCTCATTTCTTATTTTGTGGAAGCGAGTGGTGATGCTGTGGAAAGATTGATGACGACCTTCAGATAATGCCCTAAAGTGCACCCTGCACTTCAGGAGAGCCAAATACCACATGCTGTGCTGTTTATCTGTTGTTTTCATCTTGTTTGTATGAAGTCAAAGGTCATGACTAGACAGTCTTTTTTTTTTTGGGGGGGGGGGTTAGCTTTTGAAGATAATGATACACTTCCATTAAATTTGGATATAACGGGATAAAAAACAGGGAAAAAAAGGATGTTAAGTTATTAAAGGGTCTACGAATATATTAAATGTGCAGTCTAGCATGTCTTTGCCTGCTGGTTGGTGTTTGTGGCATTTTGAAATCTCTGTTCCTGGAAGTTTTACATTGAGGCGGCTCACTGATTTCTGTTTGAAATTTGTTACAGATCGAAATTTAGCAACTCTCTCTCTCTCTCTCTCTCACTCTCTCTCACACACACAAACACAAAACAAATTTGCTGAGCCTCCCAGGACTTCTTAGGTCCAATATATATTTGTTAAAACTGATAAGCCATTATTAAAAGGAGAAACTACAGCAGACTATATGATAAGTTTGCGTGCTTTCATGGCTATAGTGCAGGAGTTCTGCTTCTGCTATTGACTGATTAGAAACAAAAAAGAGAAAGAAAGCTCAACTTTTTGTACTTTCTTGTTTCATTTTATAATTTCTGTTCTTGTCTCGCAGTTTGGATGAATTTCAACGCATACTAAGGGGTGCATTTCAAAGTTGAAGTTATAATATTGGTTCTCTTTATTTTTGCAGCCTCAGTACTCAACTTCACGGTTCAGTGAAGAGTTTGATTTTGAGGCCATGAACGAAAAGTTCAAAAAGGATGAAGTATGGGGTTCTCTTGGGAGGGCATCTAAGACAATAGAAGGATTGGAGGATAATGCTCCGACTGACAGTTTGGGTGACAGAGAGTGTCGTGGGTTTCAAACTAACCCAAACCCTAAGGTACGAGTTGGAGTGCTTACACAGATGTTAGCATATTTGGTCGCTTAATTTGTTCATTGCAAAGTCATAAGTTTTACAGAATGCTGTTTTTGCGGTCTAAAACATGTTGCGTACTTAATAAGAGGCTTTTTTCCTGGTTGCAGCCTGCGTATAAGAAAGACGACTTCTTTGACACAATTTCATGTAACTCTCTCACTCGTGGATCAAGGAATGGACAGAATCGCCTATCCGAGAGAATGAAACTGGATTCTGAGGTCCGCAAACACATTAACTTAAATTGCTGGTTAGATATTGTCCAAAAATTGACAAGTTTTTTTTTTTTGGTCTGCTTGTTGTTCAGACGTTTGGCAATTTTCATCGGAGTCCTCCGATGGGTTATGGTGCCTATGTTACTGGACGCAATGAATATTACCAGAACTCATACAATATTGGAAGGGGTTATAACCATGGTGGAAGAGGGCGTGGCAGGAATATGCCTTTCTATTAGCAGCCATATTCTCTATTTCCTTAAGACCCATTGGTCTTTCCTTCCATCTGCTACTGGTTTCTCCCTTGTCTTCCTTAAGATCTCTGGCTTTGTTTGGAATTACGGGTTTCAAGACAAAATGACTTTAACACGTGTCTTGTGACTCCTTTTCCCATGGTGAGGTGCTAGAATATCAAACTTGAAGAATGCAGCCAGCTTCATGTCTTTTGGCCCATGACTGGCGTTTCAGCTTTACTTTTGTCTTTTGATCTTTTTTTGTCTATATAACAAACAGTAGCTGATAAAGCCATATAATGAAATACCAGATACGTTTTCTCAGTATTCTTATTTCTTTTCTTTCCATTCTGCCTCCTAATTTTCTCTGCCGGTTCATCCGGTCTGGAATCTTTGTCCTCGTATGCATGCTAATTCGTTTGTTATTGCTCAGTTTCGGCGTGATTGTTGCAATGACTATGCGAATGGATTGACTCAATGTTCATCATCTCTGACATCTAAAAGCCTGGTTTGAAATATACAGTATTGGGTACGAATTGCTTGATTTAAGGACATTGAATAGTCAGACTAAGCACGAGAATTGAATCTTGCTTTTGAAATGCTGACTAAATGTGAAGCTGGAATTCAAAGTAAGAAGGAGAGAAGCCAATTCCGAGAATATTCTTTTGTGGTCCCTGGCAGCTTAGAATTGTTAAAAGCCAAAAAAAAATAAAGAAGGAAAAAAGGCCGGTGGATCCAATGCAACTGGGCGGTGGATACATAATATTTATATATAATATAGACATCTCAGATAATCATTAATTTCTACAAGTGGAGTCCAAAATGGAGTTCCTGTCTGATGTATCTGTGTCTAGGATAGAGATGGTAGTATACAATAACAGTGTCTCTCGTATTGTAAAAACTGAGGGGGCGAAAAAATAAAAAAAAAACTATTGATCGGAGGATTGATTGGCTGGAGAGGGTCCAGTGAGACACTCTTTTTATTTTTTTGAAAAAAAAAGAAAGAATAGTATGGTATTCCTTTCTTTAGAAGCCTTTTATTTCCCCTTTCTTTCCAACTTGCGTCATTTGTTAACATTCTGTCATCCTCATTCCTCCACCCCATTCTTTGGTTTGTCTCAAAAGAAACCTCTGCTTTGATTCCTCCTCTGTTTCACATGCCAATTCTTTTTCTTTCTTTCTTTCTTTTCTTTTCTTTATCTGTAATAAATAATAACAATAAGTCTGTAACAATGTTACCCCATTTGTGCGTGTACTTTACGATTCTCATCTGCTTGTGTGGTCTTCACAGTGGAAAGCATTGATCCTGCTGTACAAGAAGCCAATGCCAGAAGGATCAATATGGCTGATCCAACGTAAGTGCCTCCTCTTACGATGTAGCACTCACCATTCAACCAACCTTCTCCATAAGGTTGTCTTCTGCTCATGCTTGTTGCTGATATCAGCATAACTACTGCAACCCCAAAGCTCAGCCTGTGCCAAATTAATCCACCAATTTTTTAAATTTTAATTTTAGTGTGCATTAAAGGCGAAAGTGATGGTCTTTTTTATGAATTTGTTTGTTTTAGGAATTTGCTGGTTTGTGAGCTGTTTGCAGGGCCTACCAAACTTAATTAAACATTTTGAGACATCATCATCTGTCATTCTGTCCCTAGTTATTTTAATGTCGATTTACGGGAAATGAATGTATGTATTAGATTAAAATGAACAAATTAATTTATAAACATGTGAGGGATTTTAAATAAAAAAAAAGATTAGTGAAGTCTTTTTCTATTCCTCTAGCCGTGTGTTCTGTCTCCTAAAAGTGCCAACGTGATATGCACGTGGCCGATTTGTCAATAATGGCGAGCCTGGTAAGAAACAAAGTCTAACAAGCAATGAACTGGCGTTCTATTTCATTGTCAAAAACAACGACACATGAGAATAGGAAATTTCGATTTGACACCAAGACTGGGAGGTGGCTTGCCACTTTCCAGAATCTGGATTATAGATATCTAACTTTCTTAGTTGCAAAATGGTCAATTCCATTAGGTAAAATTGATGATCATGCAATAACAATTAATTAATCAATCAATCAGATTTTGATTTCTGGCTCTTGAGTAGATGTTCTGAATGCGAAGTAACAACTAACACACAAGTACGCAAAAGAAAAAAGAAGAGAGATTGATCAAACGTACCAAGAGATCAGAAGCAGAACCTTTGCAATTGCTGGTATCTTAAAACTGACGTTTTTTTTCCCTCCTGAACAAGAATTCTTGAAGAAAGTAAAATTCCCAATAATCTGGGCAAAGAAGAGGCTGACCAGAGCCGCAATACCAAACCCAAATGCAGGGCTCGATGGCATGAAACACAATCTTCCATTCCATCTCAAATCCTCCTTCTGCAAAAACAAACAGTAAGAAAACAGGGCAAGAAAAAGAAACCTTTTAACACAGGCTTATAGCAACGACTACAATAAAAAGAACAAAATTTTACCTTATTTCTCTTGAACTCAGCTACAACACAGGAGAAGAAGGAGATTAGGCCGAAGAAAATGGAGATTATGATTATGAAGAAGATTCCTGTGAATCTGCGTCCAGGAGGATTTTCCATGGTGCGGTTGGAGTTGGTTATGTGACGAAGAGACTTGCAGAGAGAGAGAGAGAGAGAGAGAGAGGAAAGATAATAAGGCTTAAAAGCTACTCAAGGAAGAGAAGAGAGATGATGAGTTGGCGGTGCCCTGAAGATGAATTGGCCATCACCTTCCTCTTCGTTCTTGAGCAGCTTCTTGCTTTGAAATAGAGCTTCCTCTGGTTGTTGTTATTTTGACTTGCTTCCCAATAAGCCTTTCATTTCATTGCTATGAAGGAGATACCATTCCTAACTGTACGTGGACGGTTCTTTAGAAAAATCTTTTCATCAAGTAAAGCCTTCTTTGAGTTGGGTATTGGGTATATCGTGCCAGAATGGACTTCTAAGAACAACTATTTAATCCACAAAACTTGCTTTTACAAGAAACAGAAGAAAGTAAACAACTATCAATATCTTTTATTAAATGGATGGCTGGTTAACACATCAATCTTGAGGCACTTCTAATTTTCTTTTCTCCCTATGATTATTGGTCATTATCATAATCAATTGCTACTTGCTAACTTTTTGGGGGAGGCTTTTATGGGGTTCTTTCTTTTTTTTTTTTTTTCTTTTTCTTTTTAATATCTGACTTGCCATGACATAAGAAAAGTCTATATTCAATTTTCGAGCTTTAGCCCAAATAAAATAAGAAATAGCCATCTCTTCTTTGTGGGGTCATTGACTTTAGAATTTAGAACCAAAAGAGAAGGAAGATGAGAAGTGAAGATAATTGGGCTTATCCCAATTTCCCATTCCCTTCTCTTATTTGCCGGGGGCCTTGAAAGGTTCCTTCTTTGTGGTTTCCTAAAAGATTCAATCTTTTTTATTTTAATAATAATTTGAGATTCGATTCGAGTGAAGCATGCGGACTGAGGGGAAGCATCGATGCCATTTTTATTTCTTTTTCTGGAGAACAATCAATTATTTCCCAAATAAAGTTTTGACTTGGATTCTCTGGTGCTGGGATTCGCAATATGTTGAGATCGATCAGACTTTCTTTGTTTTCAATGCAAATGGGCAGGGCACAATGGACAAATTAAAAAGGGAAGTCTTGGTGAATAATTCCTAGTTATGAGCGTAATTTGGGTTTTGAAGTCCCATAGCACGAAATTCCTCCCTTGAATTTTTTTTTTTAAACGTGAATGTGTGAGTTCAAATTTTTTATAGTGGATAATAAGTGCATGAGTTATGATAAATAAAAAATTTCTAGTCCGGCATTAATTCATGATGGGAAAATCAAAAATGTGATCTATGTTATATTATCCTAATATCTTTTTCTAATTGTTCTTCGTTGATATGGGATATGGCTATTCTACTTTTTGACATGAGGCATTTTTCTTAAATAAAAAGACTCGGGTTCTTTTGATTTTGGAATTTCAAGTGATCTCAAGTTAACAACATGAAGGACTATAATTTGTACTTTTCAGAAACCTTATTTATGTGTGTAATTCATTTAATCCTTATTATGAATCCTACATGTTTTATTATTTTGTCTCTCAAGTATTAATTTTTTTCACTTAATATTATTAACTAACACTGAAAAAAATCTTAACTAAACAAACTTTTCTAACTAATCAGTTTCATTGAGGGTAATTTTAAAAGTTTATAAGAAATAATTGATTTTTAACTAATTTGCTTAGTTCATATAAAGTTGTTAATGGGTGTTTATAAAAAGTAGCAGGGGGATTAATAATGAGACATATGGGTATATCTAATCCTTCCGGTCAACCAAGAAGCAGTAAGTTCATCATGTGGGCAAAGGGACTTAATTCTGTAGTTGATTTAATATTATCAGGATCAAAGTGGAAACAATTAAGCCAATCTACTGTTTCTGATATTGGTCTTGTTCTGCTGCTCCAATTCTGGGTTCCAGTACATGAATGAAACTGGTGTCCTTATTGGAAGGATTTTCCTTCACTTGAGGATTTAGAACTTTATAGCAAGTTCATGAAAGAGGAAGACACTTTTTCTGATGACTATAGCTTCAACCTGCAGATCAAAGTGCCACGATCCTAGAGATCAAGCAGATCGATGCATGGATTTCATGTTATATACAAGAAGCTTTAAAGAGAAATTAAACACCATGCTTATTATATGCAAATAATATGACAAATGAATTGCAGTTTAGTTTTTAAGGAACGCAGGAACCAAACGTGCATATCCACATGTTGTTTGAAAATATCAAGATTCTCAAAATCATAAAGTGTCCAAACTGTACTCTAATTCACTCTTAAAAGAGGCTGTGAACTAAATTTCTCCAACCCTGCATACTTTATTGAACATTTCCTTTAGAGCACCTAGAAACAACTGAGATTTTCATTAAAAGCTATCATGATTGGGATGATCATTCTGTTCCCCCCCCCCCCCCCGGGGAAACAATTCTTATTTTCTGCCCAATGGTCTCAGTACCAGTGAGCTAAACCACAACATCACAAGGAAGATGCCTCATCTAGATTTCTTCCTTCTAAGAACTTCAAGCACAGATTGTGCAGTGCAATAAGCAATGGCCTGAACAGTGACCATTGGATTCACACCCAAAGCTGTTGGGAACACACTCGCGTCTGCCACATAAAGTCCCTCCACCTCCCATGTCTCCCCCATCTGGTTCACCGCCGATTCGCTCGGATTCGCCCCCATCCGGCAGCTTCCCATCTGATGTGCTGAGCATAATGGAGTTGACAGGTCTGTCAATGGCCTTGAGCTCTCCTCTTTCACAAACTTCTCAAACTCATGATAGCTTACCTTCTTCACATTCAAGCTCCTTCCTTTATCATTATGTGTCCCTATTTCTTCAGCCCCAGCAGCCGCAAGAATCCTTAGCACCTTCTCAATCCCTTTCTGCAGATTCTTCTCGTCAATGTCTTTCATCTTGTAACTGATGTTGTCTTGAGATCTCACTGTCCCTGATCCTAGATCTCTTGCAAGTGCGAATACATGGGCTGTTCGTGAAAACCTGCGCATTCGCTCTTTTATGTTGGTTCCAGAAACCCATGGCATTAGAAGAGAGAACACACCAGGATGCAATGCTGGTGTTTGTATCACAGCACCATATCCAGATTTCTCAAAATCTGCTACTACCGTTGACATTGCTGTCATTATCCCTCCTTCATAGCTCTTCTTATGTTTCTCAGGCCAAACCTCGGAATCATCAGATGAAGGCGTGTCTGGGAAGTATCCCCAAGCCATTGTTACTGGATGAAGATGCAAGTGTTTTCCTATGTTCTTGTTCTTCAACCCACTTCTTTTCAGCAATTCTGGAGTACACAGTGCTCCACATGCTACGATAGTAACCTTCGATTCAACCATACAAATGTCTTTAACTCCTTTGTATTCATACTCAAAAACTACTCCTTTTGCTGTTTGTCGATCTCTGTCTTTGTGTTTGTTGTGGATGACTTTAATGGCCGTGCAACTAGGAAGAATAGCTCCATTACCAGATTTAACTAAGTCCACAAGCCATGTCTCTGATGTGCCCTTCTTCTTCCCATCCTTACAGCCCATACCACACCAGCCACAGTAATGATCAGGTGGAGAATTTCGAGGAATCGTGCTCACAGGGTAACCCATTTCTTGGCAACCTCGTCTTAGAACAGCATTGTTGAAACCTTCATCATTGATTTCAGATTGAACTCCCATCTTCTCTGAGACAACATCCAAAGCTTCTCTGTATAGTTTGCTCTCGAAAAGTTCTAGCCCGTATTCTCGGCTCCATTCCTTGCAGACATGTTTTGGAGTTTTGATACAAGCCGACCAGTTAATTGCAGATCCTCCACCGACGGTTGATCCTGCTAGTATGAACATGCCCATATCATCAGTAGCAATGAGCCCATTAGAAAGGTACATTTGGTCCATGCTTGGTCCTTCAAGAAGAGTGAGATTGTTTCTTGCAGAGTAGTTTCCTTTCTCCAAGACCAGAACTTTGTAGCCGGCTTTAGCCAGGACTCCGGAGATTACACCTCCACCGGAGCCGGAACCGACGACCACCGCGTCGCATTGGATGACTAAGGAAGGAGATGAGGAGGTGGGGACTTTGTTTTTCCGGCGAAGGACGGTGACGGGGAATCCTCGACGTCGCAGAGCATCAATGGTGATGTCTCGGGGGCAGTCCACGTGGACAAGACCCTTGTAAAGTGGTCCCACAACCTCTTCGGCATCATCTTCCTCGTCACGATCTCCTCGTTTCTGGTCTTGTCCTCCTGCTTCCGTTGCTGTTCCCTGAAGGAAGTGGTCCTTCAACTGGGCTTTGAATTCCGGGTCGGGTCCCGTGTATCCTATTGCTTTCCATGTTAGATTGTCTTCTGCTTCGTCTAGCTGGTGAAAAGGAACGGGCCTCACATGAGTTCAAAGGTTCCGCCTTTCCAAGAAACCATTAAAGAAAAACACAAACAGATACACACACGCACATCATTATTGGGCCACGTAATCACAAGCCCATAAGCCCACATAGTTTAGAGTTTGGGATGGTAGTTTCACTATGCATATATCGAATCCAACCAAAGGTCCCGGGACGTGTGTTTCTTTTTGGTTTTTTTTTTAAATCACGTTACTTAAATTATGAAATTTCATGTCAGCCCAAAAAGGAAAATTATGAAATTTCATGTGCTATGGTACATTCAAGTGATTATTCGTCGCAAATAGCCTAGGATACAATGGTTGATTTGTTTTCCCAAAGGGAAAAAAAAAAAATTACTCTCATTGTAATATACTTCTATTAAAATGTTTTTATCTGGTGGCCGTGCAGGTTAGCTTAGGTATTAAATGGACCTAAATAGGCCTTGCAGAATTTAAATTTAAATATTTCTTATAAAAGAAACATTGTAAGCCAAATATAAAATATGTATGTATGGCTTTTGGAAAGTCTATATGTTTACCAGGCTAGTACTGTAATAAGTAAAAGGAAATAGTAGGTCTGGTAACTACGCATTGAAGAAGATTGTAGTCAGATAATACTCTTTGGACACTTAATACAGATCTAATTGAAAAGTTGATATTGTTCTATATATAAGACATATTTCATGTGTTCACCAAATTTTTTTTAAAATTAACTCCATTAATATTCTCCAATAATAATTAAGTATAAGAGAAGGAAGGAAATTAAAAAAAATGCTTAGAGTGTTTTTAAAAAAATATCATATTAACTAATTCAACTAACATTTTTAATCTATTCAAATTAATTAATTAGGTCTTAAATTAAGGAGGAGGAATAGTACATTCTTAATAAATGTGAAAAGATAGCATCCCATGTGGGGTTAAAATGGGAAATCACAATGCATATCTGGCTGTAAAATTTATTACTCTCTAATACTTAATATGATAGAATTTCCTCCACGTTACTAAATTTATCCTTAATTCATGTTATATACTCGTAAGGCCGCATTGATAATACTTAAAAATGTATAATAAGAAAAGTATTAATAAATACTGTACTTGATTTTTAAAATAACATGTAAAGTGGAGGAAAGTTGTATCTTTTCCGTGTAAAAACCTATTAATATATTTTGAAACCCAAGGTAGCAATAGCATTGTTGTTTTTTCGTTTTATGGGGAGAAAAGCTACTCACTCCATCTTATATAGTATAAACAACAACTAAATCAGATATATTCATCCAATGGTTTTGTAATGTAATGGCATGTAAATTGTTCTTCTTGTAAGTAGGAGGTCACAGAGTCGATCACATGTGTAACCTCAGGCGGTGAGTGCTTGTCCTTTTAATTAAAAAAATCACATAGATTAAAATATTGATTAAAACTAATTAAAAACAATAAATGTATAAGATATATTTTTTTAAAAAAAACTCTTATTTATGAAAATGATGGATAAAAAAGATAACAAGAAGAAATAAAGGAAAAGTGTAAATTTGCTTTAAAAATTTTAGTAAATTTATTCTCAAGGTTTTCATTCAGGAGTGTTGTGCGTCCGAAAAAATTTTTAGGTTCAATATTGTCCCAAAAATTTAAAATGTAACAATTTTGACTCTTGTTGTTAACCGTTAAAATATTAATATTAACCGTTAATATTTTTAATTTTAGAGAACAAAACTGCTACATTCTAAACTTTCATAGTAATATAAAACTCAAAAATACTTCTGAGTGTCTAACACTTTTAAAACAAATTTACATCTTAACTTTATATAAAACTAATACTATATTGAGAAAAAATGTGTATATAGGAGGGGGAGGAGTATTTATTTTTGGAGTGACCACATTGTTTAGGGCGCCCCGGAATGGGTTGTATTTTACGTTTTTTGAGGTGACACAAAACAAACACACTGTCTCACAAATCCAATAGCCTTAGACTTGTCAACCCCGTTCATATGGGCCACAGAAATCCCCACGACTTTCGAATTTAAATATTTAATTCCTCAATAAACTCAAAAAATAAATATAATAATATTCATAATAATTCATTAACAGAATAATTTATCATAAAATTTTATTTGATTAAAAAGAAGTTTTTTACATCTATCTATGACTTATAAATAATATATATTCTTTGTAGAAACACCAGTGATGATATATCTATGTATATATAAATTTTATTTATTTAAAAAAAAAAAGTTTCTTTCACTTGCGTTGATTGCGGGGCAGGGGTGCCATAAAAGAAGGGCATCTCCTAACCCGTGATTTGGTGGATTCTACGTGCCCTACCCACCCCCCCTCTCACCAACTTTTTCTTCCCTTCCGTCTCCAATATCATACGTATTATATTTATATGAATATGAATTGGGTCACTTGTACATATATATCGCCTATAAATTTATTAATTTAATCACTCACAAGTTAAAAAAATAAAAAATAAAAAAATATCTTACCCATCAATCAACTTTTCACACAATCTAGCTACCTATTGAATCTACGGAAAAATACATTATTGTTAACCAAGAATAAATTTTAAATATTATATATATAAATAAGGAAGTTAACATATATAAAAATTGGGGAGGGGAAAGAAACGAACTGGGTCAGATGTAGAGCACCAAAAAATGGAGGGAAATTGAATAGTAATATTATATACAGTACGACCGACATCTGGGTTGCCTTGAGTTCATGATTGGAATCTCGTAAGAACGAAGAAGCCATATTGGGGAATATGAAAATGACACGGCCTTCATGGCTTTCACAAATTAATTCTATCCCTCTCGTTCTTAAATATCACACCAGTGGGGGGCCCCACACATAGATTTTTCATTTTTTTCCTTTTTTACACATCAGCAGTCAAATCAACAACCCTCGTCGTCATAGATAGTGAAGAGATTTTTTTTTTTCCTTCACTTTTTTTTTTACGCCGTAGAAAGTTCAAAAATTTACTCACACACAACAAAGAATAAACAAATAATTAATTAATTAATAAATTACCTGGGTGAAGAAGGTGAGGAGGGTGAGGACTTTGAGGGTGCGAGCGAGCATGCGAAGGTGAGGGAAGGCGCTGGAGAACCAGGAGTTGATGATGCGGCGTCGTTTGTGCAGAGGGATGTGAGGCAGCGTGTGCAGGAAAGGCAGGCGAAGCGACACGCTGGGTCGCCCACACAGGATCGCTGTCCCCACCCACGTTGACATCATCCACAGCACCAACTTCAGTAACTCCGTGTTTGGGTGCTTCAGCTTCTCACTTATTATTCCTCCAACCTACACGCACTTCCATTTATTAACCTTTTTCCTTTCTCTCTACATAAACTCATATCCATCATCTTCAATTCTCCCTACATTTCTCACGCACTCTATGATCTAAACTATAAGTCACTCCCAATTCCAGTCTCCTCACCAAAACTCAACAAGCGATTCATTTGATTTCTGATGTATGTGTACCAACGATAAGTAAGGGGTAAGCTTGGAAAATGATAATTAATAACTCTTCAGATGACTTATTTTATGAATCGAGAATTTCTTCTAACTAGAAAGTCTCCTATATTTTGAGCCGGAAAAAACATATATATATATATATATATCCTTTTCTTTCCACCTTTTTTATTTTTTCATATCATATGTGGCTCATTTATTTTTCCAATACAAAAAGTACCTAAAACCTTAAAATCATAGACTTATACACACCCATTCTCTTATATATATAATCGAAATTTATCCGACGTGGAATTTTCCTAGCCCTTCTAATCATATCAACTCGTGTTATTTGACAATAAATTAATTTCAAAGGATCATCCATTTTCCTGTCAAAGAAGTAGAGTCGCCTTTGAAAGATGTCAGTAATAAAATATTACTGTAATATGCTTATGACTCTCTCTTGTTTTCCCCCACACACGCCTCTCTTCACTCTACACATGGCAAAACCCCACACAAAAGACTCACTAACCCAAAAAAAAAAAAAATACAAGATCATTGAAGAAAGCATTAACACACACTAAATTAGAATAAATTAAAGTCTCTGAAGCTATAGGGAGTAAAAATTGAAGATGATAGTAATTAAAACATATATGGTAATTAAAAAGAAGAATATACAGGGAGGCGAACGTACACGCTGGTCAGTTCCGGCCATGGAAGCGGAGGTGCGGAAGAAGGTGGCAACGGGGTCATGGGAGGGGTCAAGGGGAAAAACGACGTCGTTGATGGCGGGCAAGATGGCGTCGCAGAGGGCAGTTAGGGTTTTCATCTGCCTGGAGGAGAGAGAGTTGGCGGGAAGGGTTCGAAGATGATGCTGCCTCTCTCTCTCCCCTGTGAGCAGAAGCCTGTGGGTGTCTATGCTTCCGAGCTTCACCACACCCTCATCCTTGCAACTAAAATTGCTTCTCTTGCTCACTGATCCTAACCTGAAACTTCCCTTCCTAAAGCTCCCACTCCTACTTCTTCCTCCTATCCTCATAATCTCCGCCTCTTCCTCCATCGTTTCTTCTTCTTCTTCTTCTTCTTCTCTATCTGTGTGTATATATATATGAATCACAGTGCAGAAGCAGTGAACCCCTTTGGGTTTATATAACATATACGACCCCTCACAGGAGGGAGAGGAAGGGGGAGAGATTTTTCGTCGGAGTGGTGGGGGAAGGGAAGAGGAGCTTACTAATAATCCCGAAGCTTAAGTTCAAAGCTAGCCAGCTAAAGGGGAAAAAGGCACTTAAGTAGATATCAGATCAATCAAATCACTTTTCAAAACAAAACTTTAAGCTTTTATAAAGTACGGTCTAGCTACAGGATTCGGGAAGGACGTTGCCATAATTAAGAAAGAGAACATTTAGAATGTTAAGTCCAGCTGAATAATAGTTTAAAACTTCTTGCTACGGTGATATATTGTAAAAATACTCTCCTCTTCTAATCTTATTTTTATAAGTGTCAGAGAATATTTTTTTATCTTACTTACAAGTCTCATTATTAATTTTTTTATATGAATATATAATTTTGTTTTTTCTACTATTATTTTTTTTGAAAGAGTACTTAGACGTAGGTAAAGTTTGTTAATTTTTGAATATCTGTTGTTTGGTAAGATATTTCATTTTACAGCCACCTCATGTATATTATCAAAGTAAACAAATATAATACACGCTGTTCGTGATTTCGTTGGAACTTGGAATACTTTTCTACGTGCGATTTCAAGTTTATTTTTTGAGTTTATGCTTCCTATACTTTACGATTTAACATGTACAAATTAAGTAAGCCAGATGATGAATACCTAGTAATTGTTTGCCTATTACCTCAATACTTCCTTCTGTTCAAAATATAAGCTAAACTTTATCTATTTATATTTATTAAGAAACTAGTTAAAATCAATTTAAAATAATAAATATGTAAGGTATAGATTCATTTTTTCAAATATGCTTTTATTAATGAAGAGAATAAGTAAAAGATACAATAAATGAGTTAAAAAAAGAAAAAGAATATATGGGGGTAAAATTAAAAAAAAAACTCATTAAATGCTTAGACAAGAGTGAATGTTATCTTATAAAAAAAACTAAGTCCTTTTAACAAAGTTTAGCTTATATTTTGAACCAGAGAGAATATAACGATAGCCCTCCCTTTAATGTACATATTCAAATGTTAAAAAATTTAGAATTAAATGATGACAGTAATGTCCTAAAAACTTAAATGATAGTTTTCTCTTTTGTGGCTTGAATCTTACAGCATCAGTCTTTAATATAAAATCTAATTAGGTAATTTGAAGAAATTAAAAAAAATTAGTTAAATTAGTTATTTACAATAAATATGTGTTGTATTTCATAAAAAAACCTTTATTAATCATGTGTATTAGCTAAAACTACCATTTGATGGAATTTTAATATGTACAACTACTACAATAAGTACTTTAAAAAAATACTCCTCCGGTCCTTAATATAGGACCAAATTCTTAAGTTAGTTTTGGTCTTAAATATAAGACCCATTTCTCATATTTATCAATTTTTTCTAAATTATTTCTATGGATACTCTCTCAACCATAATTAAGTAGAAGAGAGAGGAGGTATTAAAAAAGATAATTATGGTGTTTTAGAAAAAATGTGTCACTTTTTTTTATAATCAACTAACTTATCTAATTTCCTTAATGTAATCAAATTAGTTAAATGTGTCTTATATTAAAAACCAGAGGAGTAGATAAATATATAAAAGACAGAGTGAATTAGAGTGCTCTTATATTAAGGACCATTGCTTACTATTTATTCTATGATTATATCATCACATAATTTTTTTTAGTGTTTTTGGTCATTAAATTTTTCAAGAAGACAATAAGCATACAATGAATTTTCTTTTTCTTTTTTTCTTTTTCCCGGGATCACATAATTACTTTCTTCTATAGGTCAGTGTCTGTGCGTGTGTGTCTTGCTATCTATTATGTTAAAGATCTAGTACAAAATATATTTAAAATCTATTAAAAACAAAAGATTGAAAATGAATAAAATTATTCTAATAAATTTACATTCATAGCCATCTATGAATAAAAATTCTGATGATGAATATGAGTCGAGTGTATATGATTATCAGAGTTTGAAACCCCTTGATGGAAAAGATAATTAACTCATTTCAAAACAATTGCCGCTTTCGAATATTATTATTAACATATTAATTATTTTACATCACTTTATTTTATATTAATGAAATTGAAAATAATGCTAGATGGATCATTATTAATTGTTTCTCATTATTTTATATATTTTAATATAAGAGTATTTGCGTTAGATTCAAATGGATGGATTCTATATATTCATTTATTAATTTATGAATAGAATGGTAGGTGGACCAATAATTGTTTAAAACGTCTTGGTTTGCATGGAAGTAAAGTAAATCGGATTATCTATAATTAATGAATAATATGATATTTAATAAATTTTATGCGATACATTATTTATCATTGATCTTGATTTAAAATATTTTTCGATTTTAAATATAAAGTCTTTTACGTAATTAACAGAATAGAAAAAAGTTAAATGGTTATTTATGATTACTACGACACTTTTCTGAAAATACCTATGTGGTTTAATAATTACAATTTAATATATGTAAATAAAAATGTCTCAATAAATGTAAGTATAATAAAAATAAATAATTAATGTGAAATATAACAAGAAATTCGACCTCATATTTATAAATAATCCAATACTCTTAAATAAATTTTATATTTTTAAGACCCGAGGGAACAATTTAATATTAATCTTCATAAATGTTTGTCATTTTGGACTTTGTGTTTTATTATCAAAATTATTGTCTTTCAAAACATAAAGAAATATATATTATTTTTTATTTCCCCCACTGTTTATCTCTTTCCATCAACGAAGATATTCAAGATAATATTTCATTGGCTTGGTAAACGATATTCAAATCCAATTTAGTGAAGTTATATTTTACTATTCCCTCTAGTATGTAATATAATGCATTGGTCGAAGTATTTTTGTGGTCCGAAATACACTTCTCCTATCTATAATAATAACATGTCTTGTTTCCCCTGAAATATTCCTCATTAAATTTGGGATCAATGAAATATAAAAGAGAAATTTGAGATTTATAAGGAGCAAGCTAATTAGGGCCGACCATCTATTAAAAGGTAAACATGCATGAAAAAAATTACTCCCTCCATTTCAAATATAACTTATTTTAAGCTATCATTGATAAGATGATTATTAAAGTTTTATTTTTATTCAGTTTTGCTCTTTTTTAACCACATGAGAAATTGGCCATAATAATAAAGTAAGGTGAGTAATATAATAAGACTTTTTATGATATGTATGAAGCATTGATTTTTTCGAATATAGGAGTAGTAATTTATGATAATAATCCTCTCTCTCTTACTTAGATATGAAGTAGTAGTACTTCAAGCCAAAGAAAAAGGATGAAGTGGTAGTATATATGACTTATATTTGAATTTGGAATAGAGGTTAAAAATCTTAAAGAAAGATAATTCTAAAATACTATTATGATAATTTTTATTAAATATTACAAAACATAAACTAATTTCAACCTTTTTTTAAAAAAAAATTGTGTTCTTCAGTTAAAAGATCTAATTAAGAAATGAACAGAGAAAGCATATTGATACTCCTCTGATCCTATTTATAGAAAAACCTTAAATTTCATTAACTCTCATTTAAAATTTAATGACTTTCTAACTTTATCCTTATTTAATATATATTATACCCTATATAAACAAAGTCAACACAATAATAAATAAGGGATAAAATTATACATCCATGCAAAAAATTTCCCTCAGTATCCTGTAAATAAGATTAAAAAATATATTTTCTCTCTGCCTTATAAATAGGACCAAATAAGTAAAATATAAGAGGTGAGAAACACGTGGTGATGAATGGTGATGAAAGGCAAAAATAATAATTTTAAATTAAACCAAAAAAATATTACTCCCTCCGTTCCTTATTATAAGAGACATTTGATGCTTATTGCATGTTCCTATATATAAGAGACACTTAAAAGTTGTCTCTACTTTTTTGTGTTGATTTCCTATTTTACCCATATTTATTGTCTCCAACTCACACTCTCTCTCCCTCCTACTTCTCTTTCTTTTAATAATTTAATTGTTCTCTCTCATGCTCTCTCTCCTTATTAATGAGGGCATTTTTGGAAAAAAATTATATTTTTTACACATTGATTGTTCTTAACTAATTTTAACTGCTTTTTTTATCAACGTAATTCGGTTATTTGTCTCTTATAATAAGAAACGGAGGGAGTATTATATATTTGGGGCTTAAGAAGGGTCCAACGAAATAGAGAAAGAGGAAAAGAGATATGAAATAAATGTAACGAATAACTGTGCCTATTAATTACTCACTCATCTACCCCCATTTAATTCTCGGCTGGCTACACAATTTCATTTAACGCTGCCAATTCGCTTCGCAAAACAGTATTTTGCAGCAGCCAATAAATTTTGGTTTGGGAATTAATTGTAGCCCACAAAATTAAAATAATTTAATTTAATTTAATGTACTTAAATTCTAGCCTCTATTCTTACTTAACATGCATAGTGTATCAATATCGCCTGGTCCTTTTCTCAATGAACAAAGAAAGGTACTTAAACAAAGAGAAGAACGTGTTCACTCAGATAGCATTATTATGTCATTATTATATATAAGTGTATTTATTGCCTCGTTCTGGCACCATTTGGCTCTTTATCAAAAAAATTTAGAATTTAAAGCTTATAAATAGAATTGGAGGGAGGGAGTACTCTACAAGGCACCTATAACAATCTCATTAAAATTAATAAAATGTGATTTAAAATTGAAGCTATTAACTTTGTTCGAAAATGAAGTAAACTCTCAAATTTATCCATATATTTAGTACTACCATATATGAATTATTACATGTATAAAAGTTATAAAAGTTGCAATCGGTGAAATTTTAAATAAGGGTAAATAATCTTGGAAATATGTAATTGATAATCCACTCTGTGACTTCAAAACGTCAAAGAATATGAAAAAGGAAACACTCTTTCTCTTTTAGATGTAATGTCGTGCCTAAATTACTCATAATTTGTTTCATTATTTCATTAATTTATGAGTCTTTATTTGGAGCTTTTTTTTGTGTATATTCAAATTTTATTACTTACTCATATTCTATTCATTAAGTTAATTTCAATTTAGATGGGGTA